ATCGGGGCTGAAATCAGTTTTTGTTTCATTCTTGAATTGCCTTTTTATGTATCTCCGTCCACTCCCATTCTGCCGTGCTGTCCGGCAATCGATGAAGAGGTTCAGCGATTTTTGCTCGATCTTTTATACACCTCCCGTAGAAGTTTATACCGCCCAAAAATACCTGTAGGTCTCTTACGCATCCCGGCTCCGGCATCTTGGTAATGGCATCCAGTTTCGCTTTCAACGGCTGGATTCCTTTTTCCGATATTTGGTAACCCAAAAATTCCATTGAACAAACTCCGAACGTACATTTCTTCCGGTTGATGCGCAAGTTGGCTTCGTTAAGCCTTTCAAGCACTTTCTCCAGCCTAATGTCGTGCTCTTCCTTATTTCGGCCTTGGATTTTGATGTTGTCCAAATATATCAAGATTCCTGAGATCCCCTGTAGTCGCGACACCATAAATTTTTGAAAGATACGAGGTGCAATATTCAGTCCATCTACAAGCACGATAACATTAAACAATCTATGTGGCGTACTGATCGTGAAAATTTTTGCTGTTTTTTCATCCACACGAAGCTGCTTGTATGCGTTTTTCAAATCAATTTGCGAGAAAATTTTACCGCCGTTAAGTGACGTCATTGCCTCCTCCACGGTTGGTATTTGGTACTCGGATTCTCGAATGTAAGGGTTTACTGTTACCTTATAATCGCCGACCACCCTAATTGTCCCGTTTGGCTTCCTAACAAACAACGCCGGTGTGGCCCAGTCCGATTGATTGACCGGTGTCAGCATTCCTTGTTCGACCATCTCCGCTAGCGCTTTATTTACCGGCTCAATAAGCCCGTACGGCACTCTCCTGGCCTTGAAAAACTTTGGTATGTGCTCCGCTTTCAGCTCGATGTTGATCAGAGTCCCCGAGTGTCTAGAAAGATCCTTTTGCAGCACTCCAGGATATTTTCCCAGAAGTTCCTCGTATCTTGCTGCTTCCTATTCAACATTTTGAATTCCAGTTACTTTAATATCAAAAGCGTCGAACCAATTAGCTCCAAATAAATTTGGCCCTCGATCCTTTTCGGTGACGATAATCGGAAGTCGTTTCGTAACTCCCTTGTACTTTACGTCGACCATAGCGATTCCCAATGTCTTAATCGGCCGCTTACCCCACGCTTTTAGATTCGGTAATCTCGAACTCCAAGCCGGATTTTTGTTTGCACAGATCAATTCAAAACTCGATCGATTTATCAACGATTTGTCGGCACCATTGTCTATTTCCATTTCTATTTTCACAGAATTAAGCTTCAATTTCGTCCTATATTTCGAGCTCGTCGAATGGATCTTCTTTTTCCCGTGAATCGAATAAATCGTTGTTCCGTCGCTCGAATCAGTATCCCAATCTATCCTGTGAGTTGACGCGGACCCCTTTTCTTTAAGTTTTATACCTTCTTTCTTCGTAATACAGGCATTTTATACATGACCCTCTTTCTTACAATAATTGCACTTAGCATTTTTGAAAAAACATTTATCCGGTGTGTGATTTGACTTCCCGCAACGAAAACATGACTTTTGTTCCTGTTTTATATTATTATTTTGTTTATTTCCTTGTTTCTTTTTACCTTTTGAATTTACCTTTCTTACTGACTGCGCATCGGATTTTTTAGCATTTTTTGAAGTAACTCCGTTCCTTCGATACTACTCCTAATTTCGAGAGCTTTGGATAATGTCAGACCGACCTTATTGTCCTTTGTCAGGGTTTTTTCGTGTCGTCTGCACAGGTAACGCTGCAATTCCTCGTCACGGATCCCCGCCACGAACCGGTCGCGCAGCATCATGTCTAAAGGGAGTTTTTCTTCTGTACCACCGAATTTCGCGCTCGAACTCCAGCAGATTCTCGCCCTGTTTTTGATCACGTTTTTGAAAACAAACTCGTGCTAGAAGTTCATTAACTGGTTTACAAAAATGAGCTTGGCATTTTTCTTTAATTTGTTCATACGTTACCGAGCTCGGCGTTTCCGGAGCAATGAGATTTTTAATTGTCTCATAAGTTTTCGCCCCCACCGCCGTAAGCAACGTACAACGTTTACCGCTATCTGTTGTTATCCTGTTTGCTTCCGTGAAAAATTCGAACCTCTCGATGTAGCTGCTCCAAATTTCGTTTCCCGCGTTGAACTCGGATAATTTTCCTATCGTCGCCATTACCGCAAAGTGTTCCACGTCGTCCTGCAAATTGTCGCTGCTGCTACCGCACTCCGAATACTCCGACTCGTCGTTACTTAGAGATGTTTTTTCAAAGTTTTTATCGAGAGGCGCAAAGCCGCTAATGCCTGGCAAGTACGCCGGTGATTGCTGCTCCTGTTTTTTCTTTTTTTTCCGCCGTATATTTTTCTTTGTCGTCGTCCGACATGCGTGCACGTTTCGCACGTTTATTCAGCCACGTGGCATCGAAATTTAACTCGTATTTTCTAAACTACTATGGTCACCGAATGCTTCTGCACTATAGCTATGTTAATCCTCGTCGCCAGCTGTTATGTCTTTTACTGGATAGGAACTGAATGACCACACCCAAAGTGAAGATAAATGCTGTATTTATTTACACGTTACATCGACGTTCTCGTAAGCAAGGAAGTGAGGAAGTGGTGAGTAGCGCCGCAATCTCCGCGCACTGCGGCATCGATCACGTGGATCGATGCCCGGTACGTGCTTCCCTCGACAGCCACGCGAGTATTCGACAATATCCTAACGCAAATAATATTCTAACGCGAATAATATGTCGGCACAAACGACATTCCAACGCAAAGGCTTGCACGCAGGTAACATCGGAACGCAATCATACCAACGCGAATAATATCTCGGCGCAACCAATATCGCGTGGATAATCTAGATGTCCTAACGCGAATCACACCTGACGCAATTAAACCAACGTATTTACAATATGTATTTATTTTACAGGACATGTTCTACATGTTCACCATTGTTCTCCAAACACAATGCGACTCTCCGCATAAAATTTTGTCGCACTTTACTTAGTGTGACGGGTGTAATATCGCGACTTGCTACCCGTATTTTTTCAATTAATTCGTTGCGATTCATGGGTAGTGTCTTATATACCTGATCCCGTATAAAACCCCATGCAAAAAAGTCCAGAGGCCTGAGATCAGGTGATCGCGGTGGCCACTCGTGCAGATCACTGTGAATGCCTATCCACTTTTTCGTAAATCGACGATTCAAAATCGTACGGGCGAGAACGGAAGTATGGGCTGGATGGCCGTCTTGTTGGAAGATGATGTTTGGGCGGATGTGTAATGGAACATCTTCCAACAAACCGGGCAGTGTTTCCTCCAGAAACGCGGAATATACTTCTGCCGTGACATTGACAATTTCAGGGAAAAAGTACGGTCCGATAATCGTATCGTCTACAATCCTCATCCAAACGTTGAAGTGAAACCTTCTCTGGACGTGCGTTTCTTTTACACAGTGGGGGTTCTCTACCGCGTAATGGTGTTCATTATGGCAATTAATCATGCCATCATTGCGGAAAGTGCTCTCGTCTGTCCATAATATACTCCGCAGAAAGTAGTCATCCTCAATATCATCAATATCGTCAATCTGTATGATATAAAGGTACAATAATGTATCTGTGTATTTTTTCATATTTTTTATGCCTTTTTTACAATTAGTTAAAAATTATTATTAATTTTCTGTTTATTACTTAGGTTGACATTTTATTGCGCAGACTTTAGAAGAAACGGTGATATGATTAGCCACGATATAAAAAACGCGTCAACGAGAAATATTCGATAAATGAAAGTTATTTGCTACGATTTCGTATGAAAGCTTAAAATATAGCTAATTGTTGGGTATCGATACCGACGCTATCCGGCGCTGTGGTCGCGCCGCACTGTGGAGGGGCGCAAGCTACCGGTCCCCGAGTCAGTCCCTGCCCGAGCACGGTCACGCTATAACCTATTGTATTTAGTCCGACATTAAACTATAGTAACTACACATATATCTGTCTCGGCTTCGTGTACCTTGTTGCATCGATCTCTGATCCTATCCCCGTCATCCCGTATACTAAAGTATCTCGTGACGGACCTAACAATTGGCGCTGCGGCTGTAACCTGTGTTCTCGCGAAACGAAGTGTTTTAACGAGTGCGATCCGCAACGAAGATGGCCGACCCTGCAAGACAGATCGAGGCTCTCACAGCGGCTGTAAACAGCCTTTTACAGCTTCAACTCAACAAAGAAAAAAGCGAAGCATCATCCTCAGCTCACACATCATCACATTCGGAGATGTACAATCATCTGAGTACACGTGTAGAAAAATACCACTACGGCACGGGCGACGAAACAAAGCCGTTCGCAAAATGGCTGCTACGCCACGAGTACACTGTGGTCACGGAGGCTTCGTGCCTGCCACCTCAGATGCAAACACGCCTTGTATTGGACAAGCTCGGGCAGACGGAATTCGATAGGCTTGTGGATCACGTCGCACCTACAGATTCGTCATCTATGACTCAAGAGGCTCTTATAACGACATTAAAGGAACTCTTCCGCGACAAGATTCCTATTACTCGTCGTCGCATAGAAATACTTAATTATCGTTACGATAGATCAACCCCGATTACGGAACATCTAGGTCGTATCAATCGTCATGCTGCCGATTTCGACCGTTCCAAACTGACTGACGATAATCTTCGTATCCTATTGTTGCTGCAATTGTTCTGTTTCTCTAGTGATAACGACGAACTAAAGAAGATCGCGCTTCGCGTCATCGAGAAGAACCAAGCCGCGTCTCTTAAGGATGTCGTCGCCGAGCTCGAAGCTTATATGAACGTCGCGTCGGGTTTAAAAACGCTCGGGAACCCGACAAAGCATTCTCAAGTTTCCGTGTTAAATATCGCGCAATCGAAACGCAAAGAGAAAAAAGCATCATATCGGAAATCTACACCGGAAGTGGACACGTCGAAAGCCAAGCCATCATTCGCAAGTAAATACAATGGCTGTGGTGGCGCTCATCCGCGAGCAAAGTGTTCTTTCCGCGAAGCGGTGTGTTACAAGTGTTCGGGTAAGGGCCATATTGCAAAGGTATGTCGCTCAAACGTTTCAAGTGTTGCTAGCGTCCAGGAACAGCCCGAGTCCCCCGCGATTGCGAAAAGTGTCGTGTCTCAATCGCTCTCCGCGGCCGATAAACGTAAACGACAATACGTGCAGACGTGACTACTCGGCAAAACAGTGACACTACAATACGATACCGGATCAGATATTACGGTAATCGGTAAAGAAGACTGGATTCGTATCGGTTCGCCAAAATTAGTATCAAGCAATACCGTTGAACACGCTGGCGGGAGTGAATTTGACATTATCGGCAGATTCTACTGTACGATCCGAGCACTCGGCCGCAACGGAGTTAACCTATTCGGTCTTAACGCCATCGATAGCCTTAACTTGTGGTCAACGCCGTTATCCGAGCTGCATCCGGGCAGTCCCGCGTTAGACTCACAACCCGCAACCTCGCCGACATCAAAGGCATCAAGCGTGCACCAGATGTACGCACAGCCGCCTAATCTCTTGAAGAGTGACCAGGGGGTCACACCTAACCTCTTGAAGAGTGACCAGGGGGTCACATCACAACACAACGTTTACCTCGAGGACGTCCTTCAACACTTTCCGATTTTATTCGCCGACGATTTAGGAACTTGTAGCAATTTCAAAGTGAAGTTTAATATTGCCAGAGACGCTCGTCCAGTCCAGTCAAAATGTAGACAGATCCCGTATGCGATAGAAGCTCTACTCGCCGAAGAATTGAAACGGCTCGAATCCCTTGGCATCATTGAATCGGTAGCAACTTCAAACTGGACATCGCCAATCGTCATCGCAAAGAAGCAGAATGGCAAGATACGCCTATGTGGGGACTACTCGACAGGTGTCAACAGCGTTTTAATCAGCAACAGCCACCCCCTGCCTACTGTTGATAACATCAATGCAAAACTTAACGGAAATCGTTATTTCAACGTACTGGATCTTAGTGACGCATTTTTCCAGCTCGAAATTGACAAAGATCACCGTGAGATCACTACTATAGTAACACCATTTGGACTTTACAGGTATACTCGAGAACCGTTCGGCCTCAAAACAGCACCGGCTGATTTTCAACAAGCTATGGACAACACACTCGAGGGTCTCGAGGAGTGTCCGCATATTTTGATGACGTCATAGTCAGAGGCCGTACTCGCAAAGAGCATGACGAGCGTCTGTTCAAAACTCTCCAACGCCTGCAAGATAGAGGATGGAGACTCAGAGCCGAAAAATGTCGCTTTGGCCTGGAAGAAATCAAATACCTAGGCTCAATCGTGAATGCGCATGGCATATCAGCTGATCCAGAAGCAACCAGTGCCATAGCGAGCATGCCAAAGCCTATCTCGGTTCCGGAGGTACAAAGCTTCCTAGGAATGGTGAATCATTATGGCAAATTCATCCCTCATCTACATGAAATGAAACAGCCACTTGAAGATCTCACACGAAAAAATCGCACATGGTTATGGGACCAGACTCATGATCTCGCTTTCAATCAAATCAAGAAGGTCATGCTCAGCCCTCTTCTACTGGATCACTACGATCCATCGAAAACGCTGATAGTGGCAGCAAATGCATGTGCCACTGGAATTGGCGCCGTTCTTCTTCAACGAGACTCAAACGGCCATGAACGTGCAGTCTACCATATGTCGCAGAGCCTTACCGACGCTCAAAGGAACTACTCCCAGCTCGAAAAAGAGGCCCTCGCGCTCGTCACAACCGTCAAACGATTCCATAAATTCGTCTGGGGAAGAAGATTTATACTTCAAACGGATCATAAACCCCTCGTGGCCCTACTGCAAACTGAGAACACCAAGGGACTCAAAGCTACTACAGCAGCTAGGCTCAAACGTTGGGCACTGCGACTCATGGGCTACGACTTCAAAATAGAGTTTATCCGCACTCAAGATTTTGGTCATGCCGATGCCCTATCTCGTTTGATCGACAAATTTCGTCGTGATAACGCGGAGGAACTCCAAGTAGCTAGCATCCAAGCAATGGAATCGGAGCTTCTCCAGTTAAAAAATCGATCAATAGACTTCTTTGGTAAGGAACTCCGGAATAATCTGAAGAAAGCAACAAAGGAAGATCCTCTCTTACGTTCGGTTTTCCAAGCCATCAGTGAAGATTGGAAGACAAAAGAAGTTTCGGAGTCACTTGAATATTTTAAAAGACGCTCAGAAGATCTCAGTATCGTTGATGACACCTTACTTTTCGGAGACAGAGTGGTCATCCCAGAGGTTCTCAGGCCAACAATTCTAGCAGCTCTTCACAAGGGCCATCCCGGCATTAGAAGGACAAAGCAGTTAGCTCGAGAATTCGTGTACTGGCCGAAAATGTCCGACGACATTGAACACCTTGTACGTCAATGTGACGCCTGTGCGCTGAACCAGAAACTCCCAATCAAAGTACCACTTGATCCATGGCCTGCTCCGTCCCGACCAATGAAACGCGTCTACATCGACTTTGCTGGTCCAATTGAAGGGCAATATCTACTCATTTTTGTAGACGCTTACTCCAAGTTTTTAGGCGTGGCAATTACACCCACGATCTCTTCAGCCCGCACTGTCGATTTGTGTCGTGAATTCTTTTCCAGGTTCGGACCACCAGAGGTGTTCGTCACCGACCATGGAACACAGTTCACATCAGAACTATTCGCTGTTTTCTGCAAGGAAATGCAGATCTCCCACCTCCTGGCTGCGGTCAACCACCCGCAATCGAACGGCCAGGCCGAGAGGATGGTGGACACGGTAAAAAGGGCCATCGCCAAGGACCCGACTAATTGGAAGAGACAGCTGTTTGATTTTCTGCACAACTACCGTTACACTCCATGCTCAGAATCGCCCTCAGGAAAGTCTCCTGCAGAGCTCTTGTTCGGACGTCGAATGAACTCCCCGTTCTCGAAATTGCTCCCGAAGCCTGAGACCCACGAGCCTGCTCCACCAGCCTCTGCCGAGAAACAGCTAGCCATGGAGAAGCAGTTCTTGAAACATCATGGCGCCCGACCCTTTTACCTAACGTTGGGCGACCGCGTAATAGTCCTTACTTGCAAGGACAAAAGAGAACAAGGCGTTATTCATAAAGTACTATCACAAACTCGCTACTCTGTACGCCTTGAAGACGGAAGAGTCATTGACCGCCACATCAATCATATCTGGAAGGGAGGTTCCGACCCGTCAACCCGGCCCGAGAGATGGACGACTGGTCGCTCCTACAGCCGCCCACGCCGGAGACGCCTCCTACTTTGGAAGCTGATCACCAGCCGGCTGCATCCCCTGCAGCCCAGACCCCAATCATTCAGGAACCTAACCCTCCTGTAAACCAGTCGACGCCGGCTAGACCCGCTCGTAATCGGATGGCTCCGAAAAGACTAATCTTGGATCCATCCGCTAAAAGTTACTCTCAGCGGTAACTTCCCAAGGGGGGAGATGTTGGGTATCGATACCGACGCTATCCGGCGCTGTGGTCGCGCCGCACTGTGGAGGGGCGCAAGCTACCGATCCCCGTGTCAGTCCCCGCCCGAGCACGGTCACGCTATGACTTATTGTATTTAGTCCGACATTAAACTATAGTAACTGCACATATATCTGTCTCGGCTTCGTGTACCCTGTTGCATCGATCTCTCATCCTATCCCCGCCATCCCGTATACTAAAGTATCCCTAACACTAATACATTATTAAACTATATAATTTACCTGTTCTGAGACCCAATCACAAAATCTTTCTCGACGGAGCAAAACTTGGGGGAGCAGCATTTGAGTTGTGTGTCTCTTGTAAGGATGCATTCTTAAATCTTTCTTAATAATCCTATGTGCCTTGTTATGGTTTATACCGAGATCATATCCGATACCTCTTGTGCTGGTGTGCGGATTTTCTGTAACTGCTTCTCTCACTTGATTGATAATTTCTTCCGGGCGATGATGATGATTTAGCGCGCGTGTTGACGCGTGTAACGTGCCATGCTGGACAAGGCGAGTTAATAAGGTATGGAAATACCCGTGTGCCAGGTGCCGCTTTTCAGGAAAGCGCTCAGCGTACAAAATTGCGGTCTGCCTTCTATTTTTACGACATTTGCTGTAAATTAACAACATATTAGCCAACTCTTCGTTAGTATAACGAGGATGCTCCATCGTTCACCATTTGACGTTTTTAAAACAGACGAGTGCATTTTCCGTAGACGGACAAAAAACTATCTGGTCCGACGTTCTTTTCCTTGCGTGCAACGCGAGGATTGAAAACGCGGTAAACGATAGAACGTCCTCGTTATACTAACGAAGAGTTGGCCAATATGTTATTAATTTACGGCGAATAAAATGGTAGGCAAGCCGCAATTTTGTACGCTGAGCGCTTTCCTGAAAAGTGGCACCCGGCACACGGGTATTTCCATACCTTATTAACTCGCCTTGTCCAGCATGGCACGTTACACGCGTCAACACGCGCACAAAATCATTATCGCCCAGAAGAAATTATCAATTAAGTGAGAGAAGCAGTTACAAAAAATCCGCACACCAGCACGAGAAGTATCGGATATGATCTCGGTATGGACCATAACAAGGCACATAGAATTATTAAGAAAGATTTAAGAATGCATCCTTACAAGAGACACACAACTTAAATGTTGCTCCTCCAAGATTTGCTCCATCGAGAAAGATTTTGTGATTGGGTCTCTGAACAGATAAATTATATATTGCTTCCTCATAGAGGAAGCTTTGTTTTCGTAAATTCGTATATGAACTTTTGATTGGGTGTAAAGTTGGTTCTAATCAACCAAATTTAAAAGAATTATATATAAAATAGAGGTAGAACAAACTAAAGAAAACATTGTTTTTTGAGTTTTTTTTCAATTTTTTCTACCCCTATTTCATATATAATTTTTTAACATTTGGTTGATTAGTTTTTTAGTTATATAAAAAATACAGTGTAGTGTTAAATGTTAATCCCCTTTTAAGAAGGTATGAAATCGATGTTTGAACTTTGCGAAGCTGACCGAGTGTCGAGCGTTTATTTTATAAATGACTGTATAAGTTACTGATTTCATTTAACAGTAGTACCTCATGGGTGACGAAGAAATCTATTATGATTTTACAAACGTCGGTTAACTTTGAACCTTAGTTTGCTCACTATTCATTTCTTTTTAAGGGGGACAGTTAGAACATCTCAAGTCTCAATAATTGAGACTTCAAAAAATGATATTTTAAAATAATAAAAGTGTGCAAGTAGAAACTTGCACATTGTTTCCTCATAGTTTTTAAGTGTGCAAGTAGAAACTTGCACATTACTTCCTCATAGTTTTTATTCTATATTATTTGTTAGTTTAATACTCTACTATTATTATCTGCGTGACTGCTATGATTTCGAAGTATTTGTGAGTTTAGTTTTTTACCAGTATTATCTTGCTCATCAACGACACCTTCCGCGCGTTTACTAAATTAACCTTCAGTTACCTCACCTGAGTCTAAGAGACCCTGCACATTGTTAAAACGTGCAGGGTCTTTAAAACGTTTAAACGCAAGAATATATAAGCTTAAATTTATATATTCTTGTCTCAAGATATTGAATCAATCTTATTTTATTCGAGAGAAGAGAATAGGAATTATTGATTTAATCTCAATATTGTTT